ATATATCTTCATGAATATGAATAAGCAAACAATCATTTTTTACTTCACTCTAATGCAAATAGATAAACTCTTATTAATAAACATTTTAATCTACATATATATTATTTTGGGGGATTTTAATACCATGAAGTTTTTAAAAAAAAGACTCTTTTCCAGTAGTGAAAAGTGTTTTAAACATCAAGATTATATCATCATTATATAATATGATTAAGTTGACATGAATAATTATTTTAAAGACAATTATTTTAAAGTTTTAAATAATTTTGAAAGCTTTTTTCGATGGCCTTAAATACCCAGATTTTTTATTTGAATTGTGCTGTTTTATTTTATGGTTTACAGTGCATTTTTAAAATTGATGTCTTATCCTTATGATATATATTCCTTAGATGCGAAAATTTAGGCATTGTACATTTTGATCGATCATCAACATGTTTTTTGGGTGTCTAACTGATTAATAAAATTATTTCTTACTGATTTCAAAAGGTGTACAAAATTAAAAAGTAAGAACCATTTTTTCTCGTTATTTGCAAGGTTGCTGACATGAGTTGACATTTGTTTATGACCTTAATTCTAAAACATGATTCTGTTTATTCTATTGTTATCAGAAATCATTGAAACAACTGAAAATCCTGCTTCATCGAGAACATGAAGAGCTTTGTGGGTCACGCAGCATAATTTGAATTCATTTTATTATCAGGAACTAAAGCAACAGTTTCTTTATAAGATGAATAAAATTGAGCTTATTGTGAAAGCTTGTACAGTGTCAGCTTCAGTATCGTACTTATTTTCTGTAAAACCCGATATTGATTTCCCTTTATAAGCAATTGATTTCTTTTCGTAGATTTAATCAATTAGTAGATTTACGATTCTGTTTTCATCGTTCAATTTGTTAAATTTTTCACTCATGTACTTTTTGTGTATTCACATTTTGTAACGAGTTGTCGAGATTCAGAATGCTTGACCGTCAATGCTCAGTTGATGGCATTCAACAAAGAATAGCATGATGAGGATTTCATGTATAAGAATATGCAAAAATGCAAGTTCATTGCTGTACCTTCAAGTCATTTTAGATTTATCGCACAAGTTCTTTTGCTGTAATATGAATTTTTTATTGTCATATATATCTTTATCTGGAGAAATGCATTTTTTCCAGTGACACACAGAGTTTTCTTTTTTGTAAAAAGTACTTCACACTTGAAGTGAGATACAGAAACAGAAACATGACCAAGAAAAATATTTAAACTCGTGTCATTGATTTTTATCCTTGAAAGTACCCTTGGTGCTGACAATAAATTTAAATTAATTAAAAATACATGATCACTGTTTTTTTATAACAATCAAAAATCAAATTGAACACATTACTGCTTGATTCAATTGTTCACAAAAACACACTTTTATTATTAGGAAATATAGACGGATAAAGCATCTTCCTTCAGTTTTGAACATTTTCATGGCTTTTTTAAGATAGCATCTTCTTTCAGTTTTGAACATTTTCATGGCTTTTTTAAGATAGTACCCATCTCTGATATTTCATCAATTCCTATTATATTTATCACATTTAATTGTTTCACAATCATCACATAAAGTCTTGTTCTTTCAATAATAATTCCTGCCATCTGTCATCTAAGGTACTACTAAGAACATATAGTGAATTTGAGTTTCAGAAAGCAGCATCTTTTTTTACTCTGCATCAGGTGAAGTTCAGTAAAACAAAAAGACGAAATTAAAAATCAGGTGGCCGCCATTAGTGGATGAAAAAAGTCCGAAGGTAAGCCTAACACATGTAGCCTCAGAAGTAATGTACAATGTAACACATGGCGGCGAGCCACCTCCGCTACCACATGAAGTAGAAATTTGTGGGGGATTTTTGTTTCCCTCCATTTTGAACAAAAAGTTGTTTCTAAAAAAAAAAAAAAACCACCAGTAGTAAATCATATACGAAGAATGGTCACCAGCACTTGCGAAAACATAAAATCCATGCATGCGCTTCGAACATGAGGAAAGAAATGCCAAAAACGACCACGCCTAAAAGCGGTGAGCTCACAACGTCGAGAAATTCCCAAGATGCAGCGGCAAATATTTTACGTCTTTGCCGCTTTGCAAGGACGTAAAAGTTACCACGACCACTTTTCAACCTCTCGGACCAGTTTGCAATGTCTTTGCTATGTCATGTGCTACTTGGAAATTATTCTGTTTCAAAATGCAGATGATGAATTAGCCCTTAGGGTTTTTTATCAGGTCCACAAGTCTTGTTTAAATTTAGAAAGATATATTTTGTTTAAAAGAAAATCTGTGTGCTTTCACCATAATGTATCTAAACATCTTCACCATAAATGGAAATAATAATCTGAGGTAGTATAGCTTATAATGGTGCCAGAATCTTACTGTTTTATTAATGCAGATATTGTTTTAAATGTATAATCTTGCATATTTAATCACATATGTATGTATTAATGATTTGTATCTGGTAGCCATTTTTTGGAAATAATTTGTTAGGTCTTTTCCTACAGCATGTCATGATACTACATCATGAATTCTGCATTTTTTCCTCCTGTTCCTGTTGTTGTTCTGACCATAAGTTTAAAAAAAATTATGTAACTCTCAAATTGAGAAAAATTAAATATGAAAATAGTGGAGCATATGCTTGAAGAACTTTCACTGACTATCATTTTCAAAATCATATATTATTAAGGCTTGAAGACCAAAGTAATCTAATCTTAACACTCTCCAAATAATTCTTTTTTATTTTACTTTAAACATTTCATGTTGTTGCTTACACAAGTCATCTTATTTGATATCATAACTTTTGCTTTATTTATTTAAATTAGGATTATCCAGTTAGTTATGCTGTCTAAATATTTTCAAGGTCTTCCTTAATGCACTTATCTGTGTTTTGTTTGACTTCTCAAAAATGCTGATTCATTTTCTTTTTCTGTCTTTTTTATAAGAAAAGTGCATGAATATTTGAATATCTATAAAACGTAAAACATTTGTGAAATAATTTGTGAAATAAAACATTTGTGAAATAATTTGTGAAATAAAACATTTGTGAAATAACAGTGAAATAATTTTATGCCCAACAAAAATCAAGAAACTCATAGCTGTATAGCTGCTACAGTTAATAGTAATGCAATGTAAAGATGCATTTTTAAAGCAGAGAAATGTTCAGTTCTCTTCCCCACGAAGAGCAAAAACATAAAAACAATTTTAATTATCTCAAAAAGGGGGGGTAGAAATGAGCATTGCCACCTTAATTCAGAATAATGGAATGAAGAAAAATAAGGTAAATAACCAGTATATAAATACATCCCAAATTATGTAAGTACTTCTGTTTAGAGCAAAGAAGTAATTCACCATGATAACCTACAATTTGTGAAACACACCATCTATTTCCATGTACAAGCCGAGAATTTTTGGAACTTTTTAGAGGTAAATAATAGGGGTTGGCTTATTGTACGGATTTGCTGGTGTTGCAAAACCTTAGCTACTTTTCCGTTAGGTGGATGCAAGTGATAAATTGTTAAATATTGCACTTCCCCCCCTCTTTTCTTTTTTCTCTCTCTTCTCAAAATATTTTTTTTTCATGAAATGAGTTTTTTGTTTAATCAAAATGAGTTGTTTTATTTTTTAAATTGTTTAATGGTTTTTGCATCATCAGCAGAACAAAAGATCCGACGGTAGTGAAATTTGTTCCTGGTTTTCTCCACTCTTGAATTTGTTTTTCATGTACGAGAAATGCCTAGCAGCTGTACTCTTATTAAAATGTTCAGCAAATCTGATCACCAACAGTTTGAAATTTTTCATATAAAAATTTCTCTTCCACTCATCTTTCAGACAAAAAATAAGACAAAGAGCAAGACTAGCAAACAGAGAGCAAGACTAGCACAGATACCACAGACAACAAATAAATTGAAAAAAATGTGCTAGCTTCAGATAGGTTACCAGATATTACGAGTTTCACTTCCAAGAAATAAAACTAATATCATTGCATCTGCCATTTTACTTTATAATAATTTGATTGGAAAATATTTCACCCATGCTTGGCAACATTTTCATGTTTGAACATTACAGGAATTTTTTTTCTTCTTTTAGGCTTATATGGGTTTATATACAAATATTGAATTTTGGGTAAATTTTTGAAGAAAAAATGCACTCTTGGCTTATACACAGATCAGCTTATATTTGAGCTGAAGCAAAAATGTAATTAGATAACAAACATGACATGAACATGACCAGGCATCGAAGTAGACTACTTAATGTAATGACCTTATTAATTATTTACTCTGTGTTTGTTTTTATTATTTTGAATAGGATTTTATACTCTTATTGTGTTTTACCATATTAGAAATTGTAGAGTCGTTATTTTGTAGAGATGTGTTTTGTTGCAAAGGATAAAAATGATGTGCTTATTTTTACAGCCATTGCTTTAATTAAATTAGAAAGTACATTAGTTTTGCCCATATACACAGTTAAACAAAATTCAGCATTAGTTAGTTATAAGTTGCTTGACATATAATTGTATTAACTACTGCGAACTGAATGGCTTAAATATTCTGTTTTTGACAGCTGTATGTTTATTTGTTGGGAAGATTGTTTAAAGCAATGCATAAGCTATAATATCAGACAAATGCTACGACTTAGGTACTGTTATTCATATCATGGTGAACTGTTATAATATGTATTCTTGATTTATTTCTCTATTTACGAAACATCAGTGACTTATTTGTCTGATTGCAAAATGATTTCAGAAAAAACTGTGTTCCAAAATAAAGTAATAATATTTTAATTGTGTAGAATTTTATCTTGTATCTAATTTTAATTTAGTTTATTCTTAATAATTAGCTTAATTTTTAACTAATTACTGTGAATTAATTCATATTCATATTTTACTTAGTATAGAAAAGCTGTGCCATTTCTATGTATATTCGTATAAAAAAATAACAGTTTCATTAAATATATTGCAAGTTTGTTTTATTAAGTGGTGGACTGAATCTCTCTAGGATTACAAGCCATACAGAATATTAGTCATAGAGAGACCTCTCTGCACTTCAGAGAAAAAGGTAACTTTTTTTTAAATTCATTTTTATTGATAATGTTCCTTATTTTGTTGTTTGAAGTGCAGTATGAAGTCCAAAATCTGGAATTGTTAGAACTTCAACAAATCTATCATCTTTGATCAAATCTCTGAAAGTTCTCGATCATGAGTTTAAATCTAATAGAATTACATACTGGAATTATGAAATTTAAAAAATATGAAAGATAATTTGTGAAATAATGAAGCATAATCTCAAAGGAAGCAAAATTTACAAAAATAAAAACTAAGAAAGGGAATAAGATAAGAAACTCTGTGTTAACATTTGTTTTGTGTCATTACATTTTATTTTTTTTCAATTTAAGTTGTTTAACCACCTAACAGTTTCCCAAGCACCATTCAAGTGCAGCGAAAAGGACTTCTTTGATTTTCCGTACACACTCGGGCAGTATTTCTCCTACACCACTCTGTTCATTTGCCTGGCGTTTTAAAATTTTTTTTTAACTTTGTTGTATTTTTAATAACTGTCTTTAAGTAGTCCAGAAGAGACTGGATTGTAAAACCAAATCAAGGACAGGTTTTACTGCTTTTAGTTTAGGCTTTGTCTGTTGCTCAAAAAGGAAGGATAGTAGAAAATATATAAGAAAGGAAACTAGATATATTTGTCTCAATTGTAATATTGGACTCTGCTTATCTTCATGTTTTAAGATACATCATAACAAAGTTGAATTTTGAAAAGAAATAAAAATTCAAGTGTTTAAACAGTACATGCTTTTTCCTAACATTTTTCTCCTGTAAAGTGTTTTTTCTAGTTTTGCACTTTTGTGTAAAAAAAAATCCAACTTTAAGTAAAAATGCTTCATTTTCGCCGTAAGATCTTCAGTTAAATAAATGCAGTACTTAAAACAGTTTTGGTTACTCACTTGAATTCATGTAATCAGTTTGAATACAAAATTGTTTATAAAAAAGATGCCTATTTTTGGTCACAATATGGCAGAAAAATGAAACTGGTAAGTGGTTAATCATTTTATGAATTCATACTTTCCCTTTAATTTTATAGTGACAATGTCTTGTTAAATTACAAAATTTCATTGTTCAAGTCCTGCAATTGCAAAGCTAAGAATTCCCATTGAGTTACCAATGAAATCTTTTCATTTTCTGTAACTCTGTCATATTATTCACAATTGATCGGGATATTTTCTGGGCTTAAAACTGTACTGCACATGTTGCCGTCTGTTATTTGATAGATGGCTGGGACATTTTCATTAAAACCTTCCCTGATACGCCAATGAAAGGAATCCAATATGTGCAACAATCCACTCCAAAGGTTGGTCTTCGGGGGTTCATTTATTGTGTACAGGACTAGATAAGATAATAAAATGCTGTTCTCACAACCATTCCAGAGCCCAAAATAAAAATCTTATTTGCTAGCTGACAGATATTTAAAGCCGAAACAAAATGCAGGACCATTAAATATTATCACAGGTAATGATATTTTTCAAAAGGTAAAAAGCTTACATAATTGAGGAAAAAATCTATATACAGCAAACTTGCATTTACTTGATGATTATATTATCCATATCGACAGTGTGTAAGAAAAGAAATAATTTAAAAAAAAAGGCCTGTTTTATGGAAGGTCTTCATGTGAGATCGCTCTGGTTATTGAATGTCCAGATTTCAAACTTTGTACTGTATATCTTTTAACAATATTTAATATTGCATAATTTATTAATTTTTAAATCTCTGTCTGTTGGTTTGTGATTGGTATATAAATGATATTCTCTAAAGAATTATCTACTTCTAATAAAAACACATTATAGTAATATGTAAAAGGAAAACTTTATTAAAGAAAATTAGTCATAAGAAACCTTACTGCACTACAAAACTATAACAAATTCTCATGCCAGATACATTTTTAACTCATTCTTTTACAATTTAAGAAAAATATCAATGTTGCCAAAATATTAAAACTTAAAATTATACTTTATAAACAAATATTAGAACAAATTTTTAAGCTGTAAAATTTTAGTATCACATATTTGTAATAAATTTTATCAAATAATGTATCTGGCTGAATGGTGGAAACATGGTGACAGTACGACTGTCGATATTATTCAACACTTGGGCTGTGCCCATAAGATTTTCTTCCAGTGGGTACACACAGATGTTTATGGTAACAAGATAGCATATCAACTGGCCAGGGAGGGCAGTCTTAAGAGCTCTACTGATGGTGGCTGTCTTTCTTTCTAGGAACTTGCCTCCCAGGTCAAACTAAAAATTAACTCCATCTAGAGCAAGGCCCTTATTCATGAGCGGTACGATTGGTAATTGTCCTGGTGCTGGTATGATCGGGTCAAATAGTAGATGTGAACAGATGGCTCTTGCTAGGTTCCGCAGTGGTCATCTTCGTGCTCAACAACATGTGTCAGGCCTTAAAGTTTACCTCTTTTGCCTGAAATGCAATTTGACCCAGCCCACTCCTGCCCATATCTTATCATGCATTGGTTTCCAGAAGAGCCAGCTGTACTCCACTCCGGATCCGGTTCTTCATTGTTTGAAAACTACAGGTTCGTGTACATAGCCTAGATGTTGTTGTCGATCAAATGAACTAAGAAGCAACTACAACAAATAATGTTTATTGTGGCCACCAGTGGCCATGTTGGCTAAAACCACAAGCCATTAGTAGTTCATCCTGTGTTCATTTCCAAGCAGTTAATCTTGGCTAGTTGGCATATTTAGTTACTTGGCTTTTCTCAAAGAAAATATGAATGTGAGGTAGTTCTGTTAAAAGTTCTTTGAAAAAGGAACCACCAAAGTCCTGAATTGATGTAAATGATGAATTAAGCAAGTAAACTTAATAGTGTGTAATTTTTCTTAATTGTGACTGTTAAAAGAAGCTATTTTGTGAGATGGAAACAGTTTTCTTGAGTAGTATATGTCAAGGAATGCTTAATTTTATGTGTCTGTCTTCTATTACTTTGTCATTCAAAAAGGTACAGTACAAAGTCCGAGATCTGGAATGATCTAAAATCCGGACCTCAAAGCAATCACCAACTTTTCTTATTTATTTATTTTTTGTGTGTGCTTTACGCATGGGCATTTGACTCCCGCGCATGTGGAGTGTCCCGATTCTTAATTTCACTTTGACACTAAATAAAATACCTCGTTACTGAAGAATCGATCATTTTAGCATAAATTTGTTTGATTAATAATTTGGCTCCTAGCTGTGTACTTGTTTGGCATACATCTCAGACCGAAACATTTTTGTATTAGCAATTGAATAACAAAGAGTATGGTAACTTTTTATGTTGACTTTATGTTTGGCGATGATTACAGATAATGCGCTAAATAATGTTGACAGGAAAATTTAACAAACATTTCTTTCCATATGCTAAAAATAAATTTTGTTAATGATACTCATAGGCCAAAAGATTACATTTAATGCTATTTGAAATTAAGAATAACTGATTTGTTATTCACATAAACCCAGAACCAGTGCCAGGGCTCGTATGGCCGCACCAAGCATCAGAATTTAAGGAAGACAAAGGGAGGCACTTGCTAGCATGAACTTAAGACCCGCAGAGACTGCATCAGGTAGTAAGATTTCTAGCACTGGCCCTCAATAAGCCTTAAATATATGTGGGAATTTATTTATTCAGGACTCAGGTAAGCCTTAAATGCAAGGAATATGTGTGAGTATAATAAAGAACTAAACTAATACAAATCAGGCTTAATTGTCTCTGCACAATAGAACCAACATAAAATTTAGTGGAACAACGTGTCTTGAGTTGCCAATCTCATGATTCGTAGCAAAATATGTATAGTGAACCACAGCTAAATTTTATGATGATAGCTGTGAATCTGAAAGTTTTCGGATATCGCAAATATTCTATTAAAATAGATTTTGTAAAGAAAAGTGGAGAAGCGGTAATATATGAAGATGAATATAAAAGAAGTTTTTCATTGTGATGACAGTGCTTCTTAATCATCAATAAATTAACGGATGGTAAAATCTGTAGTATGGTTCTATATCCAGAAAATACCGCTACCAGTAATGAAGAAAGTGACAGAGAGGTTACTAAAAGCGGAAACAATTTCAATTGACAAGTTTGTCGGAATTCTAGACACAACAATTACGGGATTTCAACAATGGAACTTTATAACTGAACAAGAAATTTCGGTTTAATCCTAATATACGGTACACATGGGATTTGGCGACATTATTATAAGCTGTAAACGTGAAATTTATCATGAGCAGTAAACGGGCCATTTTGGTGTGTGCGACAATTTTCAAAATCGCACAAAGGCAGTACCGTATACTAGGATTTTACCAATGTTTTTAAAGTAAAGAAATAAATATCGGGCTTTTTTTCCTCTAAATTTTGATATCCTTTAGACCAGGGATGGGCAAACTACGGCCCACGGGGCAAATCCGGCCCGCGGATAGAATTTTAATTTGCTGGTTAGAGGCAGATTAAAAGAAATATATATTATATATCCATTTCCTTTTCTACTTTGTTTAAATATTATTTTTTTTCTTCCTTTTTTTTAAAGGATTTGTGATCTTTTTACTTTCTCTGTTTTTGTTTTACAAAACATAAATTGCCGGAAGTAGATAGCACAGACAGCTTTCAATTGGTAAAGTGTTAAAAGCAGAAGTTCTTTTTTATAGCTGTAGATTGGCACCATCAAGTGTTATCTCTTTCTCGGGGAGCAGACATATGGGAATCCAGTACAGGTGACCACATTAGACCTCGCATGTGGCAGACTGTGCATTTTAAGGACCAGCCAGTGATTTTTTCTTTTGGCATGAGTTCTGATCTTATTGATTGCATTTGGAAAAATAGCTGACACATAGCATCATTGTGAATAGTGGTGAAATTCATTAAAAGCATAGCATATTTAATGCTTGTTTGGGTTATTCGTAACCTATTTCAACCCCAAAATGGCTACTGAAAAACATGTTAAGTTTATTCAGAGTGCCGTGCTTTTCATTATGAATGGACGTGGAAATATTTTTTTACTTTTGGTAAATGATAAACCAGTGTGTCTCATCTGCAATGAAGCTGTAGCAATCTTCAAAGAATATAACGTTTCCCGTCATTTCACATCTAAGCATAAGAATTCCAGTTAAGAAGTAATGTCCGAATATGAAAGTAATCAAAATGTGGAAAGTCGCAATAAAAAACTATCAGGCCGACAAAATATTTTCAAGAAGTTAAACAGTATTCAAGAAGCAGCTACACATGCAAGTTGCATTGTTGTATACAATACTGCTAAAAATAATAAAGCTCTCAGTGATTGGGGAGTTCGTTAAACAATGCATGTTCCAAGTTTGTGATGTTTTGTGTCCAGACAAGAAAAATAATTTTGAGACTCTAAGTTTATCTCGAAAAACCCTTACTTCTAGAATCGAAGACAGCAATAAAAATTAGACCTCACAATTAGAGTCAAAGATTGGCCAGTTTAAATTTTGCTCCTTAGCTAAGGATGAAAGCACTGATATAAATGCTACTGCTCAATTAGTATTATTTATAAGAGGTGTTGATGAGAACTTTGAAATTATTGAGGAATTGGAGTACATGGGTTCTTTAAAGGGAACTACAACAGGATGTGATATTTTTTGTGAATTACAGGAAGGATTATTAACTTTGAATGTGCCTGTAACAAATGCATGTAATATTACGACCGATGGAGTACTAAATATGACAGGGAAAAAAATCTGGATTTCTTGGACTCTTTAATCAAAACTATCCCGGGAACAACGTTGTTTTCCTGCATTGTGTTATGCATCAAGATGCTCTGTGTAGATCTGCATTGAATATGAAACCCATGCTTGATACTGTTGTGAAGCTTATAAATACCATTCTATCTTGTGGGTTTACTCACAGGCAATTTCGAGATTTTCTTCAGTCCGTGCAATCTGAATGCGCTGATGTACTGTATTACACAAAAGGTGGCTTAGTGCAGAATGTGTTTTCGAGCGAGTTTGGCAGCTGAATGACTGCATTGTGTCGTTCTTCCATGAGAAACAGTGTTCTGCAGAGTGTGAAATGTTAGAATATACAGAATGGCTTTCGAACTTTGCATTTTTCACAGGTCTTCTTTGCTATATGAGCAACTTGAATGTCAAGATGCAAAGGGAAAATCAATTTATTGATGACTTCTGGGCCCATCTCAAAGCTTTTTTACTAAAACTTAATATGTTTGCTGGGTAGCTAGATAAGAACGAATTGTCTCATTTCCTGAGTTTAAATTCAATACCCTCAGTAAATGAAGAGAAGCTTAAGAATTATGAAGATGGCTTGAAAAAACTGCATTTTGAGTTCGGATGCAGATTTTAAGATTTCATTGCCATTCAAACAGAATTGGATATTTTTACCATGCCTTTCAACGTAAATTGTGAAGCAGTGAGGTCAGATTTGCAGCTTGAATTAATTCAGTTGAAATCTACAATCATCTCAAGCAGTTGTTTCTAAATATGCCAAAGTTAGAGTTTTACAAATCATTATCGAAAGTAAGTTTCCCAAATTTATTTTCTCACTCCCTGAAAATCAGTGCTATTTTTGCTTCATCTTATTTATGTGAGCAAGTGTTTTCAACTATGAACCTTAGAAAGAATTAATATAATACTTGTATATAGTTTTTAAAATTTTAGAAAAAATTTATCTTGGCCCACCAAACCTTTTTTTTTTTTTTTTTTCCCCCGACTTTTGGCCCGCATCCAAAAAAGTTTGCCCATCCCTGCTTTAGACCATAAATGATCTCGGACTTTGTTCTGTATTTATTTCTTCTCACTTTTGTCCATATATTGTCAAGAGCTAAAATGATGCAAATTTTGTATTATTTTTTATAATTTATAATTTGGTGTAATAGTTATTATTTAAATATTTTAATGGTTTTCAGTATTTTCCTGTAAGATTTTAAGGTATATAAATTTTCACTGTATTTTTCCACAAAAATGTTGCTCATGAAAAAGACTGACTTTTGTATTTTCCCACAGAATTGAGATAAAGAATTTTAAGGATGTTAAAATGATCATCATATTTTGTGTGTATCATGAAAAGTTTAATAACAATGATCACTTTCATTTTTCTAGGTTGAATTCCAGAATGCAGATGTTTCTAATAAAGATTTTATCCTGACTGAAATTGAGTATGTTCTTGTAATTTTTAGATGTGTTAGCTTTTGGATAAAATGAATAACTTTCTTTTAAATACTTATAGACATGCTTGTATTACACTTATATTATTATATAAGTATGTAATATAAGTTTACATGCTCGTATTACATACTTATACTTTTTACATATATTAAGTGGATCTATTTCCATATTATTTTTCAACTTTCCTTTGAGTCCATGTTATTATTGTAAGAAGTAGCAAAAATACGTCACAATTTTGTGTATTTCCATATTATTTTTCAACTTTGAGTACATTTTATTATCATAAAAAGTATCAAAAATATACCACTGTTTTGTTTGCCTTCCTCCCATATATTCTCTAAAAACTGTTGTTCAGAATACTGACTTGTATCTTAAAATCTGTGATTATCCATATCCAGAAATAACACAGTGCAATCAATACTTCTGTGATATCTGACTTCCTTATATGAAGTAAATGAGAGATAATTGAAGGCAACTGCTTTTTATAGGCTGTGTCATTAGTTCTATACTTGAGACAGAGCTAACTAATTAACAGGAAAATGCACACTTTTTTTGCCTCTCAAAGGTCATATATTCTGTATGGATATTTTAACAGGATTAAGTTTCAATTCTCTAAAATTAATATTTATTCAGTTTAGTATATATTTTTTTTTTTATATCAAGTAGTAGTTTGACCATTAATACTAGATTTCGCCTATAAATTTGATTTATTTAGTGGCTTATTCATTGTAGTAAAGTAGCAATTTTTATTTGTAGATAAATTTGAATTGTTTTTGAACTTTTTATTGAACATTGCCACTAACAATCAATGATATTGATTTAACCTCTGTATTGAAGAAAAGAAAACTCTCTTATTAAAGAAATTTATTGAAGTCTTATTGTTTTCTCTTATTGAAGAAAAGAAAAACGGGAATGTAAAACTGCAATGTAGATTTAACTTGTAAATTGTATGTTTGCTTTCCAGCTGTGTGCATCATGAAAGTCTGCATAGCTGATCAATTATTGTATTGATTATTTTTGCAACTCACAAAATAGTATTTTATCCCTACTCCACACAAATGAGATTATTATGTGATAACTAAACTGATCTTCATTGAGCAGAATTATGCTGAAGTGGGTAAAATATTAATAAATATCCAAATGTGGCACATCATTTTCTGAACGTGGTCAATACAAAGAAGTGCTCAGAAGTTGGAGTAAACTTCCTGATTCAGGTTTCTTAATGTTAATCATTTTCCAGTACCAGTGAGCTTAAAGAGTCTGTAATTTACCTTTAAGACTATCAGTTATTTGCTACCAATATGTTGAAATACATTAATACCTGTAAATTTGTCTAGCTTTAGAACCCTATTTTTTTGTTGAAAGCATACCTATGTGTGTGTAGGGAGGGGATGCAGGTTCATTCTCTCAATTAAGCATGCATGAAATTTTATATATATATATGCACAAAAGCATATCTTCACAGTTCCTAAGAACTCTAAAGGACATAAACTTCTGAATTAGAATATTTAGACTACATTTGTGATGATGTGTTCATATGTTTCCAAATGCAAGTATGCTTTGTTCAAAGCATATAATTTCATCTCCTACTTTTTAATGTTCTTTTTCTTCTTTCAAATACTTTCAATGTTTTTTTTTCTTTGTTAGAATACTTTTAATTTTGTTCTTCTTTCTAGGTGTACTTTGTTTCTTGAGTCATTTCCTGGATCAGCTGACATTTTAAAAATGCTTGATAAAAAGATACGTGTTTTCAATTCCTCATATATGGTCTTGCCTCAGTATTTAGAAGATGCTGCTTCAAAGTTACGGAGCATATCATGTTCTACTGCAGAAGTAAGAATTAGTCTTATAGGGGGAAGCTGCCTCTGATTTCTTATTACCAAAATAGTGTTTGAAATGCTAATTTGTCTGATAAGTTTAAAATTTATTGATAAGGGTTATATGGCTTTTCACTTTTATAGGAGTTTTCCAGACTACTCAAGCACACATCATTTGATTTATTTTCAAACAAGAAGTTATCTGCTGTTGTAGAAAAGTAAGTATACTGCAAGGCTGAATATTTGGAAAACATTTTGAAATTATTTAAAGGAAAAAAAAAAAAAAAAAAAAACGCTCACCTAAAGCAATAAATTGATATACCAACTAATGATTGCTAAGCAAAATGTCATACTGCAAACATCAAGAATAATTCTAACTAATCAATCAGCATCAGTTTGAGTATGTAAGGGAATAGCTAACTTCAAAATTAAGTAAGGAATTTGATTTAAATGTAAAAATATTTGGTCCTTGCATATTCTTCTATTGGCCATTTTCAGCACTTAAAAATTCACAAAATAGTGTGATTTAATACTAGTAATGGATAAGCGTGATGTCGCAACAAACTGTTTCTTTTTCCTTTTCCTGTTTTTCTCTTATACTTTGAAAAAGTGATTAAAATTTGGGACCTACTTTGTGCAAAACAGCTGGTAGTTGGAATCATAGGACTGATTATAGTGCTGTTCATGTTCGAAACATTGAGAAACCTAGTCTTTTAGTGAAACAGTAAAAAGGGATTGGTAAAATAACACTATAATGTGCTGCATGATACCTCTTAAATCTTTATAAAATGTGCTGCATGATACCTCTTATATTTATATAATTTATATGTCCCCTGTTGATAATTTTGCTGCTGGTTTAAATCCCATTTATATTTTTGGCAGAAGATTGTGTTTCACTAGTTTTAATGACTTTGGTTGTTGAATAATCTCAAAGCTTGAGTGTGTATTTAAATTTTTTTTATACAATATCTGGATAACATCTGTCTTTTGATTATCTGTGATTACATAACTTAATAAAGAGTGATTGTTTCCTTCAAACTTATACTGGAATTGTTGGTAGAAGTTTGGATACTACTCTGCCAATATTCACTGTTGAAGGAAATATAGTACATTGGTACCAAATATGTAAGTTGAGGTACATTTTTATTAAAGTAGTATGATGTGCAAATAGTGCTTGTTTGGTTTTCCTTGTTCTTGTGCAATTAATAATGGCTGGCAATCGCTTTTTTTGGCATACTTCAAAGCTTTTCCTGTATTCGGAAAAGCATCATTCAGAATTTCCTTAGCCTACTCAAATGTGACTGAAAACTGTTCAAATTCTTTTAGTTACCTGCTTCAGCTGTGCTCTAATATTAGATTTGAAACTAGATCAAAAAATTGTAGTGAAATTATTTTATTGTGTAACAAAAAGGGTCCCAAATTTTCAACCTTGACCACTGTTTTTATTGAAATTGCAACAAAACTTTAATTCTACCATTCAATAAACAAGGATGTGATTTTTAATGAATTACTCAAATAAGCTTTAAAGCAAACTCATTCAAATTTAAAGTGTTTTAAAAACAGGTAAAAGAATCTGAATTATGTTTCTTGAATACCAGTATTTGCAGAATGTTCCTCAAATGCAGCAGCTATAATTTAAAAAAATTCTATGTTAATATTATTCCTCGATTTAAAATAAATTTACCACTGCAGATTTTAGAGACGAAATTTCTTGTTCCTTAAAAAAGTGCATTTAACAAAAGATTGGTAAAAAGTAAAATTTTGCTCATTTGTGTTAGTATTGCATGTATTAAATTGTCATGAAATGTCCAAAAATGCATGTCATGAAATGTTCAATGCTTATTGTTGTGACCTTCAAACATTTAGTGTTTTTTTTTTTTTTTTTTTAATTTAAAGATCTCAAAACTAAGAATTTAGTCAAAAACCAGATGTGCTTATTGCAAATCAGATGCATTAATATTTGTTTCAAAAATGTGGGAGAAATGTATTCCTTATTCTGTTATTATTATTATTATTTTTTTTTAGTTTGATAATTTGGTGGTTATTGTGTGTTTAAATTTTAACTATTGCGTTGCGATGTAAAATAGTGTTTTGTGTAGTTTTATATGTATAAAGTGTTCATATTCTATCTGTTGTGAGCCAGTTTCCCTTAGAAAGTCCTCCACGAAGGCATCCCTCCCCTTAGGCAGATAGATAGTCCTAGTGTGCTTTGTCATAATTAAATTGCAGTAGACACATGGATTAAAGAAAAATATCTCAAAATTTGCAACTAGAATGTTATTTTAACTTGCCAGCCATTTTGTAAGGTAAGCCATTCTAAATATGATTTATTTTGGGTAGCAGTTCTTGCTTTTGGTTTCAAAAAAATATAGGTTATTTATGTTTTCCCAGTAGCTAATTTTACTTCTAAGTTTTTGGATAGGTATAGATTTTGGAGAAGTGTTTAATCATAATGCCTGGTCTTCAGACAGTGCAATAATAATTGTATAGTTTTATTGACCTCGAAGAATGCTGAGAACTGCTACATTCTTAGCTTACCCAGCTGCAAACAAAAAATATCTGTGGAATTCTGTTTAATGCTTGGCCATTCATTGGTATTGAAATCTTTGAATATTCTTTATAGCTAATAACAGCTGCTGGATTTCCAAATTTTTAAAAAAAGGAAGTTTTCATTTATAAGAATATTGTGATTTTCTTTTTTCTTAGCTCATGCTTCATATTAACTTTAGCCATAGTAAACAAGAAGATACACATTAAACAGAAAATATACAAGTATTATTTGTCTGATGGTATCTTCTTGGTTACATCTACAAAATTCATGTTGAACAAACATAATTGATTCTCATTATATGAAAGACAGCGTACATCTGGTTTTTGACTAAGCTTTCTGCTAAATTTTCCCCTCTTTATCTCATACAGAAATTCCGACCATCTCTAATGTTGTCTATTGTGTTCATTCCAAAGCAGACCCCTTTACATTCGTATAATGAATGTCTCTGTATGTTGACTTATGGCCTGTCTTGCGTAATAAATTTAGTTTGCTCTGTTTAGAGATCTGAGAGGTTTCGGGCATGCAAGATGCTAAAGAATATATAAGATATAAAGTTAAAAAATAGCAACTGTAAATTCACCATGAAAGTATTAGATGATTACTGAAGAAAAACAGCAATTACTGCCAGTTCTTAGCCTAGAATAATATCTAAATGTTGTGCGTGATCATCAGAATATTTCTCTTTTTTAATATCACTCATGTTATTACTGCTGCAGTTATACCTCACTAGTTATTGAGTTACTAGTTTTTTTGGGGTCCTATGGTGTGTGTGTGTTTACAATATACTTTCTGTTTATTCTGTTTCAGCTATGTATTATGCCATGTGCATGATAAAGTATTTCCTGTCATTAAGAAGTATTGCCTTGAGGAAGATAAAAAGTACACAAAACTTTATCACTTTAGAAGTAGAAACTATACTGTTGAGAGAGCCTTTGCGTCATCCTGGCGTAGATTTTCTGTGTACGCTGTCATTACTTAACCTTCTAAAACCGGGTCGAAATTATCATAATATAGTCTTCAGACCGGCGCGATACGAAACAGTTTTGCCCCCTCTTTGACATTTTCCTAATGAGAAAAGTCGTCAGTTCCCCTCCATGGATGAAGTAAAATTTACATGTTTGTCGGACGCTTACGTCCCATAGTAGAGGAGTTGCAAGATTTGCAATTTTTTCGATGATTATTTTGTTTTCATATTTAAATGAAAGCAAAATTCTAAATAAATAGCACGTAAATAAATGTGCAGTACTGGATGCATATCCAGTGCACACTTTATTTAGAACAAAATGTATGCAATGTTTATATTTCATTCACTATTTCTAATCAATCTCGTAAATAATTTGTGAATTTTTTAACTTTGTTTTCACTCTTCATTTATATTCGCGTATTTTCGTATTAGAAATTAGAAAGCGAGAACAAAATTTAACAAAATATAGTAAATACAGACTAGATCTGTAAGTCTGCAGGCCGGAATGCGATTTTTAATAACATATTTTCATTAATAAAATAATGGTAATGACTAATTTAATGAAATAATAATAATATTATTACCATTAGATGATTAGAATGAGATTCAATACAAATAGATTTTGAGATGAACTTACAGCAATAATAAAGCTTTACATAACAATAACAGAGATTTAAATCTGCTTTTTTCGATAATTTCAAAATTGGTAATAATGACTATCAGTAGAGAATTTTAAAATGTTTTGCAGAAATTCGTGACATGTTTTTATTTTAAATGTTCATGACAATTTCATAATTTCGTCTAAAACTATCCTTTCATTTCATGCGTAATTTATTTGTAATCTTTGTTTTCAAAGAATTATTGAAAGTAAAATTATAGTGTTTAGTAAAAAATTAAAAACCGAGTTAATTCAAATATCTTTTCACTTTATCAATATTTTTACCTGCTCTTCAGTAAAGCGGTAAAGGTGGCTGAACACTTATAGCTCGCTTGGATTTGAATCCCGGATAAATAGTTGGAGTTCATGGTTTTTGTGTAACGTAAATGCAAGCCAGCTTCTCTTAGAAAGTCCTCCGCGAAGACATAACTCCCCTTATACAGGTAATCGTTGGGTGCTTTGATGTAATTCAGTAAGCGAACAAATTAATCCAATCAATACCGAAGAACGGGTTGATTACATGTGGAGTTTTCCACCAGGAATGTAAATGCGAGCAATTTTCTCTTAAAAAGGTTTACACGAAAGCATCCATTCCCTTAAGCAGATAGCGTTCGCGTGCTTTTCCGTAATCCAATCCTAATTTTCATACATTTAGTAGTAAGTTGACATACACCTTATTACAGACAAAATAACAACTTTTTTAAAGATATTTTTTTATCAACTTGTCTGAATTCTCTCTATCTCTTGAAGAGTATAAGAATTTCAGCAAATAAAACTGGCCAAAATTTTATAACATTTAACTGATGTTTTGATTCAGTTTAGAAGTAACGTGAGCTTTACTGATATTTAAATATTTTTTGGCAGATCTCATCCTAAAAGAGGGTGTAAAGATAAATTGATTTTATTTAATTTACAATCAATGAAAATCATTGAAAGCAATCACTGAATGAATGAAAATCAGAAAAACTATTATGCATACAATTGTCTCTATTATCTTAAATCCACAAAGTTGATTAAAAATTTGAAGGTTTTTAGCTCCACAAAACAAATATAATCTATTATTATAAATTATGTCCAGTTTTGAGAATCAGATTACTGTTTAGTTTCGACATGTGTGTGGATATGATGAATAGAAGCTGGAAAAACCTTCTTGCAGATCAGTTTATTAAATAATTGCTCTCAATATTTTGTAAAAATGCTGATGTATCAGTTGTTCAAATCTTCCCACCTCCTTTAAATTTAATTTTTGATTTGGATATTTTATTTTTCCTCTTTATATTTCAGAATTTTTTAAATATTTTTTTTAATACTCAGTGTCTTAACTCAATTTTAGTAATTCAAAGAACTATGTTTATTTTGGAAATTTAAATACAATGAAATATATAAGCTAAAATGTAAGACTGGTTCTTTATTAAAAAGCTAATTAACTTGGGATTTTAACTGGAGTTGTGGAAAGTCTTTGGCTTCTAATTTGCACAGTTTTGGATGAAATGATATGTAAAAATAAATTTGCATTTCAATTACTGGACTTTCCTGGTCCTCGTAAGAAAAAGCATTTAATTATGTTATTATACATTATGAAAAGTAAAATGTGTGCAGTAAATTTCTTAAATTAGCTGTTGGATTGAAATATTAAATTTTGAAATCAATTTAAAACGGCACTTAAAGTTTGAAGTAATTACAATTTTTATCATTTAACGTGCAAATTTCATGAATAAAAACTGAAACTCAGTGGCGTAACAGCCCTAATGGACCAAGGCCTGCAGTGCCCGAAATCTGCTTTCTTGACCGTGCCCTAGGGTGCGTAAGCATATGCCCTGAACAAGTGGTTAGTTTGTCATAGGACTCCCAATGTTTAGTTCCCAAGCAAACTTGGTACTTATTTTATCAACCCAAGTGATGGAAATCAAGGGATGAAAGGCTGAGTCGACCTTGCCCAGCCCGGGAATCAAACCCTGGACCTGTGGTGCTTCTGCACGATGCGCTAGCCACTGTACCACCGGGTCTCCAAATTTCATGAATAGGATAATAAAAAATAGCCATAAGACGATATAAGCATATTATAAATGTTAAAAATATTGAAAGGTTTACAAATATTTAAATGCTAAGAAATTTCTGAAATTTTCATGTTATTTTCAGTATTTTTGTTGGCAATATATCTCACACCAATATTTAATCTTGGTCCAAGTTTACTGAATCACAAAATTACTTATTTTATGGTTGCTGAAATTCTTTCATGCACTTGAAAGAGATTCTAATTCTGTTTGTCTCATGGTAAGACTGGATTAACAAAACTTGCTACGTATTCAGCAGCAGATGATCAGCTTTTTTAAATACCTAAACCTCAACGGTTCTTATGGAAGTTTAAACCTCAACCCTTTGAGTATATAGCACGCTGCTGAATACTAGCTTGAATAAGCTATGCTGGATGTCGCAGAATAATATCACCAGTTGCTGGGAGTTCGTTTTATGGCCAAAGAAAAAGAAAAAAAAAAAAAAAAATTTGTTTTTCAATGATTGTATAGTAGAAAGTGTAGTTTATACCTTCGTGTCAACTTATGTTCATTATCTTATTTTCATAAATTTGTACTTCACAGGATGTTTGCATTTCTCTTTAGCTGCAAGATATGCTGCTGGTGACTGGTAAATTCATTTTTATGTACTAATATGTACTTAATTAGCTATTGTGTGTGCTTGTGGTTGTTGTTATATCTTAGTGTTCCATATCTTAGTTCATAAACTGTTTCCTGCTATGTTTTCATAAGACCTTTTTACGTCTCTGTTATCAAGTAATATACTGCCAGTGTTTGGTGACTGTGCAGTGACATCCTATATGTAGCATTAAAAAAAAATGAGGTGGCAGCCATGTGAGGATATACTCAAAGGATTGAGGTTTAAACTTCCATAAGAACCGTTGAGGTTTAGGTATTTAAAAAAGCTGATCATCATCCTGTGGCTGCATGGATAAGAGTAATAAGCACTGGTTATTTTTTACACATTTTTTCCTGTTTAACGATCTTAAGTGCCTGGGATTTTTTATGGTTTTTTCTGAAGTGTGAATTAGAAACAAACTTCAGGAAGCATTTCATGAAGGATCTCCCGAGGCACACAGTCCTTCCATGCATTGCCAAAGCCAACTGGTTAGCAACTACCTGAGTTCTTCAAAATTTAGTGATATTTTGCCAGATGCCAAGATTTTCATGTTTTAAAATGTAATGTCCTTAATTTTACAAGAGCTGTTAAGCTGCATTACACAGTTATATGCATAAAATCTGAAACATAGCAAAGCAGTTATAAAGTGGTAATATGTAAGTATCTACAAAGTCCATGAAAGTGCATGAATATAAAACGTTCACAATATCGTGATGATTCAAAATGAGCATATAGAAATTTTTATAAAAATATGTGAAAAAGATTTCGCACTAAATTGGTCATTATGCAGTATATTATTAAAAGTCATTTTATAAGCATAACGTTTAAATCTGTATAACATAAAAGCTGTTTATTTATTATAAAATTCTTTTCTTGGTGTATAAAATACATATTTCAACAAACACAATTTAACAATGCTCTTTTTTTAATGTGTTTTCTGAAGTTAACTGTAAAACATGCTAGAATTTTATCGCTGACTGTGTTATTCAAAAGTAATTTTAATAAATATATATGCAGATTTGAACATTTTTTCTTGCATTCATAAGAACACATTTTCTTTCACTGTGACATGAGGCTGATTATGGTAGTTGTTAAGCTAAGCTTTTTTTTTCAGTTATCGTAATTTCAAATCAAGTGAACTATTGTTTATTTTCAGTAAAGCAAATGTTTTATTTTGTGAGGGTAAAATCCATTTAAAATTTAATTTCAGGTTGTTGAATTAGCATCTTTAAATTCCCGGAATAGTCCATCTGAGAAACTGAATTGTTTAATGACAACTCTTGTAAGTGTTAGTCTCTTGCCTAGTTTTTTTTTTTTTTTTTTAAATTTTTTTTTTTTAAGTAAAGTTAAAAATACTTGTAACATTAATTTTATTGTATATCTTCCATAAATTTGTTAGTACTACCCTGCATTAATTGCATATAATAATTTAGTGATAACAATAATTTTAATTGTAAAACAGATATAATCAATTTATATCAACACCAGATAATGTTGATATAAATCACCAAAAAATGTTTTCAACTAAATGTGTTGGTTGTTTCTGTTTCTACATAATGTTTAATAGTCATTTTAACCATGAACTTTTATATTGTTGTCCTAGTTCGAGCTTTTACAATATGTGTTTAAAAAAGTTTTATTAGAATATTTCATTTTTTCTTTTATAGTTTCTTTGTAACTGATCTTCACTTGGAACACTTTCAAAGTTTTCATTTTGCCATGTACCATTTGCAAAAGAGATTGAATTAAATGCTGCCAAACAGTAAAGTCAATTTATTTAAAATTTTGTGTGTAGAAGAGAAAGCAAGATGTGCCCCTCCCCTTTTTTTTGTAACATTTTCTTTCAAATTATGTGGCCAATATGTGTTAGATTAAGAAAGAGAACTTTTTTTTAAAGTAATCTGTACTTATTTAAGAAAGTTCAGAACTAACTGGAACATTTTTAGGTTTCAGAGCTAAAAGATACAGTCAGTGATATAGCAGATTTAGGTTCCAGGTAGAGTTCTTTCTTTAAAGTTCCAACAAAGAGATTAGTAGGAAACTATAATAAAGTTGTGTGTTCTTAACAATTTGTCTGATGCTAAGTTATTTTTATGTTTACTGTCTAAGTTGTATAACACAGTTAAATTTTCAATGAATAGTTTTTTTAAATTCAGTTACTGTTAAGTTTTAATTTAAAAATTTTTATATGAAGGTCATTCAGAAAGTAACCTCCATTTACTGTAAATAAAAAATGCATCTAGATAAAATAAATTTTTATTTTTACATCTGAAAATTATTACTAGCATGGATGCCATATAAATACAAGCTCTTGTCAAAGCATTTCATCCGTTTAGAAATCTCTTCTGCATAAAACGTTGCCTGCTTTGATTTCAACCAACTTGTCACAGTATTTTTGAAGATTCTCATTGTCAGTGAAGTGTTGGTTGAAGCCAATTCTTCAAATGAATGACCAGATGGAAATTGAAAGGAGCCAAATTCAGATAGTACAGCAGATAACTGAAAGCATCCCATTTGAATAGCTGCAGTAAATCTTGTGTTTGCCAAGCAGTGTGAAAGTGAGCATTGCCTTGCAGGAACACAACCCCAGGTGTCAGCAGACTGTGATGCTTGTTCTCGATGGCTCTTAGTTTCTTCAAAATCTTAGAGTAAGTTTCAGAAGGGATTTTTATACCAGTTCCATAAATTCAACATACGACATTCTCTCAGCATCACAGGAGATGGTGGCCATAACCTTCCCTATTGACAGTCTGATGGGCTTTGCTTGAGCTTATTTGGAGAACTGGTATTTTGATTGCCATTGAGTGTTATTTTGTCTCAACATTCACATATTTCAATTAAGTCTCATCGCCAATCACTATTCTATTCAAAAACTCTTCCCCTTCCATTTAGTAATGTGAAAGAAAATCTAAGAATCATTTGATTGGTTTTATGAACCTGTGTGAGAATTTTTGGGACTTACTGAGCACAGAACTTTCAGGAGCCTAATTTTCAAGTGACTAATTTCTACATAACAGTCTGAGAAATGTTCATAAATTTTTGTGGAAGTTCCATTGGCAGTTCTTATGAACTTTGTTTTCAGTATTCTTGATTGTGATCATCACTTACTACAGAAAGCTTATCACTCATGTCATCATTAATGTTTGATCTTCCTGCTTTGACAATCTGATCCTCTGATACAGAACACCTTCATTGATATTGTTTGGGACACATACAGTGCATGATTCATGATGTCTGTTGCTGATGGATTGTTTGTATCTAATGAAGTATCATCAATCTACATACTTCTCATATCTTGGTATTTTCGAAGGCAAAGCATATTTTATGATGTTATAACCAGCAGGTACGCAGCAGTACAATGCTCTCACTTGTACAGCTGGAAGTCTACTGAATCGCAGATTGTATGATGTGACAAAGCTGGCATTTTCACCAATACCACCACTACTGCTATTGCCACACCACAGTGGCGGTTAGTTTCCAAATTACTCTCAAATATGCATTAAAAATCAGTTTTGTATTTTAAAACTAATACTACATTTAAAGTTTCCAGATTATGAATATTTTGCAGATTGAAGCATATCTGAAATAAAAGAATATTGTTTAGAATAAATATTAAATGAAGCTAATAATATATGTAAAATATCCTGTTTGTATTAGTATGATTGTAGCAATAGATAGATGCTTTAATAATATTTTGGTATATTTAGCAACTAGTACTCTTGATGAACGTTAAAGGTAGCTTTCAAAGAATTTTGCTGTTCGAAACTTTTTAACAGTTGATTTTGCACTTTATTTTTCCCATTTTTCACTTATCTTTAAGCAAATGAATATTGTATTAGATTTCAATTGTGATTTAAATTAATATGATTATAAGCTTAAAGTGCTCAATATAGTGCAGTTGTTGCAATTTAAGTTGCAATCATTGTTATTAGTATTATAATACTTGCAAGAAGAGAGTTTTAAAAACAAGTTATCTTGAATATTGTTGATCAAGAAACTTTTATGGAGTGATGCTCTTCAGTGTAATATGATACAAATGCGCCACCCTGCTTTTCAACATACATTCTCTGTAGAACAATTTTCAATTGAACTGACTTCTTGATGATATATGCCAACTCTTGAGATATGCAGCCATTTTATGATCACTGCTTGCTCCTAATTATTGAAAAATCATTGTACATTCAAATCTTCTCTTAATTTGCCGAATATAAAGAAGGATGCTATTATACTTCCTGTCGAAAACTTTGAAATAAAGCTTGTCTTATATGTACCTTTTGCAGCATTGTATTATTTGGACAATACCTTTACACTGCTTTCCCCTCCTTTTACTTTTACATGATTTTGTGCAAATATCTCACTTTTGGCTATAAGAATCTGTATTAGGGTTTGACTTTTTCAATTGTAGTTAAACTACACAATTCAGAGAAGAGTTATGACCATGACTTTTTGTGCTGAAATGTAATGGTTGAATTTTTTTCAAACAGGCAAAGATATTTATCTTCGTTTCCTGTAGAAGTGTGATGTGATATTTCCATGCACAATTTCTAGTAACAATATAGCTTAAATTGCCTTTCACAGAATAGCATTGAAGGAAATCTGGTGTCGAAAAATCCTGTTCTTTGTGTTTACATTTCAATGAACAGTGAACCAGTCTTTAGCTGAATTTGTGATATCAAGGACTCAGACAATGGAATGAGCAATATCTATTAAAATATGCCAGAAATAGGTAATACTGTATATGACGAGTTATCATTTAGCTTGGTAAAAGTTATTTATCAGAACAAGTTGGTGATTCTGCCATCTTTCTTCGAAAATATTATATTATCCTTATTTATCATATGTTGGCAAACATTATCAGTGTATCAAAAGGAAACAAGCTTTAGCAACTCAAAAAAATAAATTTTGTTGTTCAATAAGGGTCTGCTTTGTACATGGGTTCTTCTCATGCACACAGGGATCTGTTTTCACTATTAAAAAAACCCTTAGTGAATTGCTCACATTCAGCATATTGCATGTAACGAACGTAATAGCTGCTTAAAGTAAATATTGACAAATAAAAGTTCTGAAATTTTCTCCCTAAGGGATGTTGATAACAACAGCTTATAATTCTGTTAGGTAACTGGTGATTTGTTGTTTGTCACTATACTGCAAATTATAGTCTTTTAAAGAAATTAATTTTCTGGTATAGAGTCAGATTTTCCTGGTATTAAGAGTATGTTTCTGTAGCAGTTATATTTTCTGAATTAGTCCCCAATAAAAGGTCTGTAATTGCTTGAGACTTCTGCCTTTTGAGAACATGGAGATTCATTAATTGTGACATGCTATAAAGCTTTCTTAATCAGTACAAGTTCAATTTTGAATTTCCATGTATTATTATTTCAGTTGGTCATCTTTTCAGTGAGTGATTAATATTTTGCTCTCAAAGTGATCTATTCCTTAAGTAACCAAGAAGAAAAAGAACACAGCTGCAGTTCCAATCCAAAGACCATGAAACAAATTTTTCATCATTTCTTTAATGAAGTTTAAAGAAGTTAATGTTCAAACATTCAATAGATGTTGTTTAACTGGATATACAGATGAATTGGAGAGATACTGTCATTTTGTTTGGTAATTAAAAATTAAATAATGCATGCTCAGATCAAATGATGAAATTGAATTGTATTGAATGGCATGTCCTTTCTATAATTACTGTGAGTTAAAGTGAGGATCTTGTCCAATATTTAAAATTCAGTAACAGCGAAGGCTTATGATCTTGCATTTGCAGATCAATTTGGATTTTAACATTGTGCTCTTAAGTTTCTTCCCCCCCTTAAAAAGAAGAGTGATCAAAAACTATCACAAAGATCAGCCTTGCTTGTTTTACTCATCATCATCCTTTTCCTTAGAATGAAAATTTTAAAAAAATGCAGTCAGTAGCTTTGATTGCTATGGTAGTACCTGTCTACACACTGAGAGTAACCATGTTGCAATTCGTGCAAATCTTCATAAATGCTGTGGGTAATTTGTGAGTTCTGACTGAAAAATATTATAGTTTGGTGACTTTTATGTTGTGAAAATATCAACAACTAATACATAATGCTAATTGGAAAACATGCCAACAAAAACTGTGTGGAGCTAAGGTTTAATGAAATATATTAAGAAATTCCATTATTTAGTCATGCATTTAGAGAAAATTATTAATTTAAATGAATTTTCGTATAATTTAACATTAATGTTATAAAATATAACACATATAAAATATTCAGGTTGCCGTAAAGTAATAAATCTTTAAAACATTTCTCTGAAGGCCCTTAAGCAGTCTTTAAGTTCTGATAACTGAAATAGCAAACTGTAAGATTTGATGTGTAATTTCTAAAATTCATTTAGCCATTTGACATGGTATGTATATTCCAGTTAAAGTATTTAGTCCTGTAATTAAACTGAGATGCCAAAGAAATTAAATTTTTTCGAGATTTTGAACCATTTCAAATTTTGCTTGTAAATTTAAACTTTAATACCTTTATTATTTCAAATTTGCATGAAATAGGACTGTGTTAATTTTCAAAGAGGAAGGAAAACAATCAAATTTTATATATCTTTATATTGTTTCATTTGTGTGTTAATTTGTTTTAATTCATTCTTGATCTTATTATTCTTACTTCTTTCTACGGTAATTTTTTTTCACTTTCTAATGGCAGTAAATCTTAACTATATCTTAATCTGAGCTTCTCTTTTAATCACTAATTTGTATCTTAGTCTCTAGATTAGTGGAAAAATATGCAACTTGACAAATTCTTTTGTGTTAAATTGCTATTTTAATGGCATATACAAATATTCATTAGGTCTCTGTGGCAGTTAACAGTAGCTTGTTTATTATCAACTGAATGACTCTTATTTTCATTTCACTGTGCATTATTTTCTTAATTATTTAGTTATTTATGAAAAATCATTAGTGTTCAACTCCTATGTGGTTTAGAAATATGTATGTCATGGAAATGAAAACATTTCCAATATCTTTTTTAATGTATAAATGCATGGACATTTACCGATCTGAAGTGACCTATCTTAAGTATAATAACTGAATTTTATGCAGAGAAACATGAAATAGACATTTAGCTTGGAAATATGCAAAAGTGGTTCTTTTTTGAAGAAGTCCTGCTTTTATTTATTGCACAATATTTTCGGCAGGTGTGTTTTTTGCATTGTTATATTTCTGTTGAAGAATTTTAATGCTGCAGGAATATGCTATATAGCATATTTCATGTAAATACCTGAAACATTTAAAATGTTCTAATATTTAAATTTAGTTGAAGCTTTATGTTATGCATTATGATCATAAGTTTAATTATGTACTTCTTTATATATTTAAGTTTGATATTTTATATGCCTTCTAAAACAAAATGCAAGAGATCTTTTATCTTATGATTATATGTATTCTCTGTGTAGTTTAATAACTGTTGCAGTCAACTGTTAAACCATTACAAAATATTTTGTAATTTGCAGTGCTGGGCTCCTATTCTTATGGTTTACTTGCCTCAAATACTTTCTCATGATTTGAATATTTTGTTTTAATCTTTATTTTCATGCATAGAAATTAAGTTAATGCTTAAAAGCAGTCTAGAGAGGTAGCTGAAATTTACTAAATATTTTAATTTATCTTAACAAAATAGTGTGTACTGAATATTTTGATTTTAATGTAGTTACTACAGTCAAAAGTTGTTAATTCGGACACCCATAATCCGGACCTCAAAGCTAAAAACTTTCTGCGCATGCGTCGCGTTGGCACAGGCGTTTTACGCGTGCGCGTAAGACCTTGACTACTGCGCATATGCGTGTGCGCAAGTGCAGAATACTCGCCTGCGCGTTTAATGTATAACGGACGGTGTAAGCTAAAATTATCTAATTATCTATTTCAGTTAATGTTAATGATTGCGTTGTTCCTTAATCTTCGAATTGGATCCCGCTTATTATTTTTTGCAGACTGTAAGAGCAGTTTTATAAAAGTAAACTTGAACTTTTGATTATGTCAAATAGAATTTCTGAAGCTGGAACTTCCAAAGGATCTACAAAACGAATGTATGTTTCGATGTCCAACAAACAAAAAGTGGAATTGCTGCAAAAAAAATGGATAAAGACATGAAGAATGTGACAGAAAGGTTAGTGAAGACGAAAAAATTTCGATTGACAAGTTAGTCGGTATTCTCGGCACAGCAATTAACGGGACTTGAACAGCGGAACTTTGTAACTGAACAAGAAATTACGTCTGTTTATAGAATTAAAGAGAAAGTATTATCACATAAAATGAAGCAACTTAAACAACTTACATTGAAAGAAATGTTTAATAAAGTAAACAAATAAATATTAAGCTTTTTTTTGTGTGTGTGTGAATTTTGATACCCTTTAGATCATAATTGTTCTTTATTTCATAAATTACGGTTTCACATTTTTAATTTTAGAATTTCTGCATTCCATCGTACGAGATTTAAACTGATGATCTATAATCCGGAAAAATCGATAATCCGGAATTGCCGAAGTCCCGACGAGTCCGGATTAACGACTTTTGACTGTATTATAAAAATTTTCCTTTATTCTTCATTAAATATATTATTCTCTTTTCAGGAACTTCTTAATCAGGACATTGAACACTTTTTATTTGAGAACTGTTATCCTGTTAGTAAAGGTAAATTCTTTAAATTAGAAATAGAGTAAAACCTCCCTAAGCTGACCAACCTTGAAGGTTGTCTGTGTTTCTAGAATGCAGTTAAATGTATGCCTTAAACAGTTTGCACTGGTAGGCTTCCGACCATAGATTAAAATTGCCTGGAATTGTGAATGGTTATCTTAAGGAAGTTCTGTAATTTCTGTTTTAATAGTTTTAATTGTATTTTAGATCTTGGTGTGTGTGTGGGGGGGGGTGTTTGTAAAGTGTCATATGGCATCAGCAGGTTCTTCGCACGTAGAAGATTCTTTCTTGTAATTATTGTGATTTGTCTATGTAATATAAATTCGGAGAGAAAATTCTTTTAAATAATGTTTGTAGTAATTTGATATTTCATCATCTTTTAGTGTTTAGACGAAATTTTTATTATTTCAAAGACTGCTTCCTACTGTTGTAGTAACAAAACATATTTCAGAAAAGAGTTTATATTATATGCTAAACCTCTAATTAATTTTAAATTAGTGATGTATGTGTTTATAGCTGAAGAAATGCTTTACAACTCTTAAGAAAAATTATGCAGGTTTGGTTATTGCATAAGATTTCTTTTAATGTCAAAGATGTCTTGCAAATTAATGTTCCTTCTCTGATTAGTGATAGCTAGCAGAATATGTGCTGTGTGTTATGAGGGTATTAAATATTAAAATCCCAGAATGTGTGTATTTAGATTTTTTTCATTTTGTTTCCATTTTTTTTTTTTTTCATCCTGAATTTTGAAGTAATTGAAATGGCAGCAATCCATTACTTTTTTAAAGCCAAATCCTTCTAGTTAGTAATTATTAGAATTACCATTCAATATCTTATCCTTCATGAAAATAATGTTAGCTGTAACCTATGATATAGCCTCCTTCTAGCTGCTGGTTTTTTGTGGGTGTATATTTATGTCTAATTGGTCTACTAGTTTTTATCTATATTTGAAAACCATTAAAATGTGTTGGCAACATTAGAATGTATTAAACTGAATTTTTCATAATTTACCATATGCCTAAGTAAGTATTAACTATCACTGATTACTTTCCCATAGCATCAATAAACTGACCTGAATATGTATAACTATCTGTATAAAAATATTTGACTAACTTTATATTCTCGTCAGATTTAATTACCTTATAACATATACCATTAAATCAATAGTAGTAAAAAAATTCCAAACATCAATATTTGTAAGCCCATCTGTTGGAAAGGTGATTAAATAGATAGGTTGATCTCTCTGTTAGTGCAGTAAGTGTTTTGCATGGATTTTTCATGGTTTTCAGTATGAGCCAGTTTCCACTGAAAAGTCCTGTGTCAGTGCATTTTTTAGTAGTAGATAGAATTTTCTTGCTTTTGGTGTTAACTAATTACTTATCTTTTATAAACCATGGTTTTGGTAATATATTATTCACAGATATTCCCAGCATTTATGCATTTTGGCGATTTTTTTCGGAGGGCCCCCAAAAAAGGAATGATGTTTTATATTAGCAAAAAATTGTGTATTACATACATACATGCATATTGTCGCATGCATAGTTTATATTTTAATTATGAATTTATCCAGAAAATCAATCTATACACTAACTTACAAATGAATTTTTGTCTCTTTTGTCCTGGTGGGAATTTCGTGACGATCGTTTTAATAATGGATGCAAAGCAGTTGTTTCCAAGTGATTTTACAAAACTGCATTCCTTCAGAAATTTTGCAGCAGTTTCTTTTAGTGCAAGCAAATCCCACGAATACATATTTTGAAATTGAGTTTAAGGCAAAATATATCACTATTTTAACTACTATCACTATTTAACGCTATTGAGTTTAAGGCAAGAAATGCATTTTCTATAAAAGCTATTCACGTATGACAAAAAGAAAACATACAAATATAGACGATTGCTAAAACTGAAGAATTGTTATATATGTGGTTATCAGAGATTGGTGCATTTTGAAAATTTTTCAGCTGCTAAATGTAGTATGTCAGTATCCTTTTTCTTTATAATTGGGTTTAGTGGCTAATAACCAGCCAGTGTAGTTGTGCCTGTTATGAAATCTGCATGTCTGGTAAATTTGCTTGTATTCACTTTTAAATGCCATTTCCTTTACTTTTACTTGTCTGAGAGAAAGATTTGTACCATGTAATGTATAAAAACTACACATTCAAACATAATGCAGTGTCTTTTGATAACCACTTTATTGACACATAAGGTATACATATGAATATTTTCTACATATTTTCCATTGTTAAACTACAATTAGCATGAAAGCTAGATCAAAAGAAAGGATGCTTGTTTCTGAGAAGTTTCTTTTCAAATGGGAATCTGTAGAAAATTCATTTTTGCTGGATTCATTGTATTAGTTTTTCAGGCTATGAATGAAAGCATAAACAAGTTGATGTATTTAATTTAAATATAAAATGTAAGCTGACATAACAAATTAAAAAATAACTGAGTAGAAATTTAACTTTCATGTATATTGCTCAGTTTTAGCATGTAAATTATGGGCTTTCATTTTTCAGATTTGTTTTTAAGGTATAAACATTGCTTCATTTTGAGAATTAATATTTTGAAAGCAGGTTTTTATGTGTGATACTTTATACCTTTTTTTTAATCACTGATAAAATCCCATTTTTGCATATTGCTAGTATTTTTTTGCTGCCTGTGAATTTTTTATTGTGTGCTTTTTCTGGCTGTGGAAGGCTTTTTTTATTTAGATGATATAACATTTTAGTTTGCTTTTGTTTTCAGATACTCCACGATTAACTTCAGATGATTTAATTCCTCTACTTGTGGGTGTCATTATTCAAGCTAGACCGCAGTACTTAGTTAGTAATTTATATTATATGCAAAATTTTTGTTGGGAAATGTCTTCAGTTGATAAATATGGGTAAGTTTTTTTAGAAAGACTTTTTCTATTTGCATTTTAAAATTGTTGTTATATTACGATAAAAAATATCGCTTTCTTCAGCTTTAGTAAGAGTGTATTTTAATTTTATATGTATTAGAGGATAAAATAAATAATATACGAAGAGCTTGTAATACATATTTTTTAACACATTGCATTCTCTTTTCATATTGCATAAATACTTCATTGATGCTGTAAAAAATTTCTAATTTAAAACTTTCGTCTAACTAATGTGCAAGTTGAATGCTTTTCCAAATTCCCTATATTTGGAAAATAAACCTTTGAATTTGTGCATTCTTTAAAGTTTCTTCGTTTATGGTTTATAATATAGCTACTAAAATGTGATTTATATTAAATAGCTTAAACAACCACATTATTTAGCAATGCAGCAAATTTATTATTAAAAATTATTCACCGTAGTAAAACTGATTTTTCGGTTTATGGAGTAGTGAATATATTGTTTCATTTTAGAAATGTAGGTAGCATAATTGTTATTTTTTAATAGGATGGTTGCTCCTATACACTTAGTTAAATTTCAAAACATTACGGCATCCTCAGAGCTTAATCGACTTAATGCTTGCAAAAATTTGGAAGCATTGTAGTTATTAAATCTAGCGCACAAGAGATTTTCCCCTTAGTGGTTGAGAATTCCACTCCCTTGACATGGACTGAAGTTCTGTCCCCAAGGCAAAGCGGCCTCTCGCATCCCACTTCTGATTTGACCCATAGATATTGCCACAAGCAAGCCTCCAGTGAAACACCAAAGCATTGCCATAACCAGTATACTTAGCATAACACCGAAGCAAGCTGTAAATTAATTTATTAATATTGGTTATCACAGTGGTGAGCCAGAAATAATAGGAACTTGCACCTCCTGCAATGCCAACCTGGCAGAAAACTGATAGACTTCTACTACTACTGGGGTGATGGTAGTATGCTATATGGTGTGACTCCATGTGGTAAATGGTGTTGGTTGTTTTTGTTAAGGTTACATATTACTGCATATCGAACTAAAATATATTTACTATAAATATATGAGAAATTCCGTTAACAATACGCAACAACATCGAAGGTATAGAAAAAATTAATATAGGTTGTTGTCCTCATTACTTGAGAATCTTGATAGTGACAAGATAATCTCTGGTTGTAGTTTTAGAGCATTCTGAGTTCTTGCCTTCAGACTGAGTCATGCCATCTTTATTTTTCAGTTGCAATTTATGTCCTCTGATTTGTTGTAGTGAAAACAATATCAGAAGAGCCACAGGATCATTTGTCTGTCAGCCTTTTGAAATCAAAAGACTTCGGTGACAGACACAGTACAGATCACTGAAATCCCTAGACACTGGCCATGAAATTTAAATTGTCGCTTTTGAAATGTCAGGGACTTTTGTCTCTCACCTTATAACAGCTCAAACAGTGCAACATGTAGGGGACTGCAAGCATGAATTTCTTATGTTTGTGTGATCTGCTGCAACAGCATTATTTTATTGGTAGTTGTATTTAAGACAGAAATCCCAGCTCTATGTATATTTGACTTGACATTACCACTTTTACAGAAATATTGAGTACTCAAAATAATTAAGTTGGGAAATTGCATAGCAAGAAGTGAATTTTGGAAAAAATTTGGAAATAAAATATTTGGTTTTCTGTCTGAAAAGAATGTCAGTTGCATCGCTGAAAAATATAAACTCTGTGTATCTTAAGAACATATTTACTGAATGCAGAGGAATAGTAAAAAAAAAATAAATAAATGAAAGTTCATTGTCTAAAAGATATGAAATAGTTGTTAATTTACTTGGAACTTTTCTTTCTATTAAGAAATTGTTTTATTGCTTTTAAAAAACTTTAACTACCTAACAATGACTCTTGAATTGTGATATGCAGCTCTTACTGACATGGAATTGGCTGCAACTAGTATTAAGTTACAGTGAACTCATATTAATTTGAACAAAGCTGAAGTAGTATGGATGATTTCAGTTACAGAGAAATGTCTTAAGAACAGTTCTATTCTTTTGATCAGTTTTGCTAATTCCTCTGAATTTGAGTGAGGAAAATCTGTTTGACGTTTAGTGTATTTTTAATTTGTTGCATGGAAATTTGCTTTCTCTCTCTCTTCTAGCCTTAGGAAATCTGTTTTACATAAAATTGAATAGAATTTTGATAAACTTCTTTTTTCTTCTGGAAGTTAGATTATATTTGCCACACATATGTATAAATATAATTAAAGTGTGTATCTAATATATCTGCGTTTGCACTTATTTTAATTCTGTGCTTGGTATACCTGTAAAGGTATTGAATATGCTGTAATTATCTTAAAAATCTCTGATGTTAAAAAAGTACTCATTAATTATGTTATTCAAAATTTAGAGGTGTCTCATTTTTTAATATTTCAAATGAAATATTAAATATAATATTACTTTCTTGTGGCTTAGCTTGAAATCACATTTTATTTTTCATGCTTTATGTTTAAATACAGTCGAATCCGGTTAATTGGACCACCAGATAATCGGACCAGCCGATTTTACGGACCAAATCCTAAAGAACTGAAACAAATCCTACGTACATAAGCCTAATAATATTCGCTTATTTGGACCAAAATTTCGTTTAATCGGACCAAAAAACATGAGAGCGAATAAAAAGCAGAAGCCACAAGTTGGCCGCGTACAGCAGATGTACAGGTGGTCTGCGACATATGGAAGGAACTGTAGTTCGGGCTCCCCAGGAAAATGTTTTATGAAAGGTCAGGAATTCCTTAAAGTGCATGACAAAAGCAAAACCAGTGGGAGGTGAACATGCGCACCATTTTATTTGACCTTTCCTTGACCTGTGCCTCCGAGTTTCGAGGAAATGAACAATAGAGTGTCCGGCTCCACCTGAAAGTAATTCCCGCCTGTAAATCATGATTAAAGTTTACACGAGAAAGCTATCATTTCATCACCATTTTGGGATGATTTTAGTTCCCAAGCTTTGAATGGCAAGCATTTTATCTCCCTCTTGACCTCAACATCTTGCACCCGAAACACCAAGGTTTCTTCAGACCACTTTAGTCAGTAAACTGTGCACGTGTTTGTCTCACTTGCCAAAATGCCACGACGGGACTTGACGTTAGCTGAAAAAATTGGTTTCCTGGGTAAGCTCAAGCAACAACCACGAAACACTAGTCAGCGTCGTTTGGTGGAAATAACCGGATAGGCAAAGACTACAATTTCGCTCTTGATAAAACAAGAGAATGAGCTGTGAGAAGAATGGGCACAATATGAAAGACGAGGGGGAACTTAAAAAAAACGGAAGCGTGAGGGCAAGGACCCAGATGTCGATGAGGCCCTTAATGAATGGTTTGCCATTGTTACTGGACAAATCTGTGCGAGTAAGCGGCCCAATGTTAAAATGCAAAGCAGATGAACTCACTAAAAAGCTGGGCCATGATGATATTAAAGCTACGGACGGTTGGTTGTCTTGATGGAAATCTAGACATGACATAAAATTCAAGAAAGCACATGGAGAGAAAGAAGTACTGATAGTGCAAATGCTGAAGAATGGAAATCAACAAAACTGCTCGAGCATGAAAATTTTTCAGCAGATGACATCTACTACTATGCTGATGAGACTGGACTGTATTATCGAGCTACGCTGGACGGCTTGTTAAGTTACAAACATGTTGCACTCTCTGGCTCCAAAAAAGCGATGTATCGCATAACTGTCTTGTGCTGCTCACATGTCAGGAACAGACAAGAGGAAGCTGTTGGTTATAGGAAAAAACCCTAAGCCTTGCTGCTTTAAAGGACTGAGGACTAGTTGTGTATTGTGCGAACAGAAATGCGTGGATGACCTCTGAACTTTTTAAAGAGTGGCTGAAGGGTTGGGACAGAGAGCTACGATGCCAGTCGAGAAAAGTGCTGCTGCTTGTTGACAATTGTGCAGCAAATTCTCATTTAGATTGCTTGATGAACGTCCAACTGGAATTTCTACCTCCCAGGATCACAGCTTTGGTCCATCCAATGGACATGGGCTTCATAAAAATCTTGAAGACCCTTTATCGTGCAAGGTTGGTTAATTGCATCCTTGAAGCCATTGAAGAAAGTTTGCTGACCTCATCGTCAAAAGCCAGCGCAGTCAGTGCAAAGGTCGACATCTTACCAGCAGTTACATTTTGTGACCGACAAGTGGCGAAAAGTGAGCTGTAAGACAATTCAGAACTGTTTTCTCACTGTGGCTTTAAGCACTTGGTTTTGGAGATGAATTTGGACATGCTCATTGAAAGTGAAAATGTTGACGGACATGTGGAACTTCAACAGGTATGAAACTGCAAAGAATTTTTATCCATCAACAATGAGCTTCGATGAAAATGAAGATTAAGATGCTGCAATCATTGCTCGAGTTGCAGCAAAACACATGACAGCATCGGAAGACCAAGAAAGTGGTGATGATGATGCCGCTAATAAGTTGGTGCAAGGAAATGCATTGAAACTTTGTGCCAGTATTTCATGCAGGAGGAAATTGAAGGCAGTCCCATTGCTGCGTTAGATGTTTGTGGCGATTTCGTTCACATGCAGTCCGTCAAGAGAATGCGTCAAAGCACATTGGATAAGTTCTTCAAATGTTGACTGGAACTTGGTAAGAAATTGTTTTTAATGTGCTTCGCATGTTGAGTATCGTGGAGATTGTTTCTTAGCATTTGTTTCTAATAATTTTCCTAATGAAAAAAGTTCGACTGTATTTCTTGTTTGTACATGTATGTACACCATACATGTGTACTGCATCATAAAGTTCATAATAACATTTTAGTACATGATGTACTTGTACATTTACTGTTTGCTATATAGAGAACGTTCCGTCTTACAATATAGGACATGTTCGTGTAATCGCACCAGCCGGTTATTAGGACCAAAATGATCTCTTCTCGATGTGGTCCGATTAACCGGAATCGACTGAACTTAAAATTTTACCTTAAATTTTCCCCCTTAATTACCATTATGTGTAAGCTCATAAAAATAACCTCTCTCTAATTGTGAATCGTTCCTTCTATCATTATGCTGAATAAAGTAGTTGTAACTGTATGAATTTAAAATTAATGTTTACATTGCAGTGTTTCCTTCATAAAGCTAATGATAAGAAATTTTTAATTCTTATAAGTACTTTTATAGTTGTTGAAATTTCAGGTACAGTTAATTTTGTCTTTTAGTAATTTTGAAAGGCCTGACCTACAACTATGTTGATGGTTTTCAATTTTTTCACCCTAGGTTTAGTTTAGTAACATTCCAAGCTGCCAAAGAGTATGTCAAATGCAATGAATTCGATTTTTTAAAACCCTCATCAAGGAAAATAAAAAAAGAGGTATTTTATGCTTTTTTTCCTTCCTATCAAACATTACAAATATGTGTTGTAAAAGCAACAATTTTATTTTAGCTTCTAAGGTCATTCAAAATATTATCGTAACTTGAAATGCAGTTTTAATAATGTGCTTCATAAACATAAAACTATGAGTATGCCGTTATTTATTTTGTAATCTTGAATGCATGGTATTAAAAAATTCACATTTAATTCTATTGTTTTTGAAAATTTAAAGTTGTGTCATTTTATTATAGTTATCTTTAGGTGAACTAATGGAAGTTGCAGTTGAAATGCAAAATAATACCAAGCCATCTGTTGAACCCAAACCTGCACAGTGTCAGTCACCCATTGATCATCAGCTTGAAAATGTCACAAAAATGATAGAAGCCTCAACAAGGGAATTAAGAGAATGGACACATCCTAAAGGTCTTATATTTTGAACTGCTATTTTCCTTTTTTCTTTTCTCTTGTTGTGTTTATCTATATTTTAAGTTTAGTTGTTGATTCTGAGGAGGGTTGAGCTTCTTGTAATCATAGTTATTTCTATGATACATAGATCTGACTTTAAATGTTGCTCTATATAACTCTTTGTATATTACTTGCAAATTTACTTATTATTCAATAATAAATTTACCTTTTGATAAATACTTTTATGTGGCTTTAGAATTTGAATCAAGTGTAAACATTATTTTCCTTATTGTATTTTCGTAGACTTTTCTAGTACTTAAAATCAGTTATTTTAAAACAGCTGAATTTATTAGCTCGAACTGCAATTGTGATAAAAAAAATTTCAGTTTTTGTCAATAATTCAGTTATGTGTTTGCTTTTCCTCCATCCTGTTACAAATTATGAATTTTTCAGATTCTAGCTCCTTCATGAAAAAAAAGATTACAAAAATAAATGCAGAAGAAAATGTTGGGTAGGTTAATTTAATTATATTCCTTTATCTGTTGCTGCCAAATTATCTGCTTTGTATAATTATTTTGCTCAGTGTATGCCCCAGTATATTTAATAAATTAAAGATCATTCAATTTTATTTAATGCAATAAAATAGTTAATATTGTTTGGTGATGCTAAATTATAAAGTATTGTTTTTAAAATGTTGAAATTAACAATAATGTTGAAGTTCAAGCTATATGTAGAGCCTGCCAGCAGCTGAGTAGTAAAATCACCGAGTGCTAGTGGTTCAGTGGAAGTTTAAAATCCTGGTGAAATCATGGCAGTTTTTCAAGGTTTTCACCATGTGTAATGTGAGAATGAGCCAATTTCTATAAGGAAGTGTGTCTTCCATGAAAGCATCTCCACCCTTAGACAGGTGAAAATGGATTCGGACATAAGGGCGGCTTACATAGACTAATCGGGTATTGTCCAGATCCCTCAACTGTTTAGTGCAACACTTCCGGTGCTGCTACATATGCTGATGAAGACATTATAAATTTTACACATTGTTACACAGACACTAAATAACTAAAAAATAGATATTCAGTTCATGAAATTTCACAGATATTTACAAACACTTACATACTACACAAATATTAAAAGCGAATGTTGACACAACTTCTAAATACTAATGCAAGTCGTTACACAAATGCACAGATACTAAATACACTACTACATACTACACAGATACTAGATACTGATACATACTATATACATTATTATTTACTACACAGATATTAAATGCAGATGCAGACGCAGATATCCTTAGACAGATGGCCTTCATGTACTTTGTTGTAACTTAAATAATCCAAAAGCTGTATGCATTTAGTTAAATTTTTTAAAGTTTTATCCATAGCCTTGAGCTCCTGTCATGCAGTGCTAAATTTCTATGAAATGCTTTACAGTTGAATATTTGCTAGGAACCCTAAAAATGTGAAAAAATTCATCTTTTCGAAGTTGGTTTTTGATGCAGATCACTTTCAAAATTGCATAGATATGTAAAGTATAAATCCCATTAAATAAGTAGTTTGTGTTTAAATAATCATAATGTGTATTGGGTACATGTGTATTTAAAGCATCCACTATTTTCCTTTGTAGATAGGTCTTATTTCGTAAAACAAACTGCTTGTAAAAATGCTACTTGGAGACTAAGACCATTAAAGGTTAAAAAGCAGTGGACATGAGATAGCAGAATATTATTGCTGCTTTATAAGAAGAGAAAAGTTTCAAGCTTTTCATGCATTTTTTTCAAAAACTAATAATCTTTGAAGTGAAAGCTCCATCTAAGTACTTTAGCAGTTTTGTTTGTAAAGCTGATAGGCATATTCTGTCTATATACTATACATTTACCAGTTAAATTACTTCAAGTGTGCATGAACTTAGAATGAAGTTTGTGTGTGCATGTGCCCATGCATATACAATGAAGCCAGTTTTTGTGCATAATATTTCAGTGTGTTCTTATAACAACATTTGTATTTAAAACATGGTCATTATTATGTTTATTCTAAAGTGTTTTAAATGTAGTTTTTATGTGTAAATAATGACATATGATTTGTGGTAAAGTGATATTCATATTTTATTGAATGATTTATCATTAAAAGATCTGAGGTGCATTGTATGCTTATTGAACACAAATTGGTTTCATTAAATAACTACAGTAAATAAAAATATTGCAATTTTAAAAAAATCAGCTTGGAAGAGTTTGATGAAATTTGGAGGGAGTGAATGACATTATGAATTTCTGTAATTGCATAAAATTACAAGGTAAATAAGCTTTCAGTGATGTATAAAAGGGTACATCAGGAATGAAATTGTATTTTATAGTTTTTAAAGGTATATAGCAGAATTGTACTTGTTGATGATTGATCCCGTAAGAAACTGGGTGTTCCCAGAAAGTTTCAGCTCCTGTATTAAAAATGTTAATTGAGCTCAAAGAGTGTACAACTGAAAGAGAACTTCATGTAATGCATTTTGATATAAAGAGCTTCGTAATTTTAAAGAGAAATGCTCTCTATTTGCAAGAAAGAAGTGTTTGTCACATAAAGACATGAGATTGGGCATGATACACAAATTTTTTTCAGGTAGCAGATATACAAACTTTATTCAAGTAGCAGACCAGACACTGAGATAAATGCAAGGTTGATAGAGATTATTTTGAGAAATAAGGCAAAATAGAATTATAATAGCTTTTGGATTTATGTTTGATTTAGTATTGAATTATTTATTAATTTTTCCCATACACTTTAAATGAGAAGCATTTTTGATTGGAGAAATAATTCATAACCCCCTTTAAAAAGAAAAAAGTTCAGAATGCAAAGTACTTGATTAGTGATCATACTGCTTTCAGCAGTACAGAGTGAACCATAGTGTTGAACTGTTTGTGTAGCTGTCAGTTAAATCATTAGAGAGTAAAAATGATTGTTACATTAAAACATGTATAAATTCTCTGTAGACATTGTGTGCCAGTTTGAGGATGACAATATACTTCCTTAGCGCACCTGAAACGCATGCTTAAATGAATTTAATAGAAATTGAGCTGGTTATTTCATTTGTATCCAGGTCATCAGCATTCTGTATTCACGTCATATTTAGGAGGAAGTCTGAAGCTCTTTCCAGAACCATTGGAAGTGTGGAGAAAAGTAAAAGGTTTCTAGATCATATGAGAGCTTTTGAAGGTCGAATATTTTTAAAGAAGTAAATTTATCTAATTTCCTTCCCCAAATTGTATTTTGTCGTTCAAAGTTTTGCAACAAAAGTGATTTTTCATCACTGAAACAGGACCTAGTTAGGCAACAAGGACTCTAGACACAGCATCCTTTTCAGTGATCCACAACAGCCAGTTTTCAAGATTTTATGGGGAAAAAAAAATGGACTTGCAAGAAAGGATGGCTTAGGGGTACCCAGTTTATAACCAGTGTTTGCAATGTATCCACTTGTCAGATTTTAATAGTTTATTTTGGGTAATAAAATTAGTCGATTAGAATGAATATTCATCATGAAGACAAAAGTGTATTTGTGACAAAGACATCTGTATCACTTAAATGGTGACAGTTTAGCATATGAGAAGATTTATTTAATGAATATTTTCATTCTTTTAAAGGTATTAGCTGTTTTCCTGTTTCTGTTGTCACTGCAGAAGTAAGGTTGTCTTGCTTTAGATGGTTAACATCAAATTTGAGAATTATAACATCTGTGTACTAAATAAAAAATGTATTTGCTTTCATTACACATACATTGGAAAAACATGCATGTGATGCTAAATGAATTCTTGAGAGATTTGCTAATATGACAAACTTTGATTTTTATTTTCAACATAAAATTATTCATCTAATTGTATTCATCTAATTGTATAATTATTCATCTAATTGTACTTGCTAAAAACTTGTGTTGTTTTGCCATTTAATAAGATTACTTGCCATTTTTTTTTAAACTGTAAAATTGAAGGAAAAAAAGGTTTTGTAAATGTAAAACCTTTAAAAAATTGAGTTATTTATTGCTCAACTAAATTCTGTTTTCCTAATTAAGAAAGACCAGTTCAGACATAAATGATAAATTAATTAAAAGATAATACTTGACTAAAATTCCTGCAAAATTATTGGTAATCATAAATTTTTTAGTGCCTGTAACTAGTTTCAACTAGAAGACAGAGTTTGTATTTGTGCAGAAAATTACATATGCTGATGTTAAAACACAGACATTTATTACCTTTTGGAACAAAAAATGATAATCAAATCTCCTCAGATTCATTTTTCATTCAAGTTGTTAGAGGGTACCATGGCACACCAGTTGAAATTTCCCAAGAACCATAGAATTATGTAAACTGCTGTTTAATAATTTTAATTTTTAATTTTTTTATAGTGCCTGTGACTAGTTTGAACTAGAAAACACTGTTTGTGTATGTTCAGAAAATCACATATTCTGATATTAAAACACAGACCTTCTACTACTTTTCTGAACAAAAAATGCAAATCTTCTCACATATGTTTTTCATTCAGGGTGTCAGAGGGTATCATTGCATACCAGTTGAAATTCACCAAGGCCCGTAGAATTCTGTAAACTGCTATTTAATAATTTTAATTTTTTGTAGTGACTGTGACTAGTTTGAACTAGAAAACAGTGTTTGCATTTGTTCAGAAAATTACATATTTTGATATTAAAACACAGCAACGTAATAAGATGCAAAAATAACAAAATCTTATTATTCCAAGGATGTTTGACTGAATTACCAAAAAATCAACAGATTACCATAACAACCCCAAGTATAATTTTATTCACCAACTCAGAAGTAGTCAAAAACTCATTTATGTGTTTTTAAAACAAATGTGATTCCAAAGATAAAAACTGTTGCCAAAAATGACAAAATAATGTGCAAAGTAAAACATTTATAATTATTAAAATATTTGTGAGTAACTAATTATTTATGTTTTATGCTGTTACAGTTTACACAGCTTATATAGATTGAGCAAGTAAATATCTTATTTGTATGTATGCTTTTGATGATGGCACTAGTCATTTTGATGCTATGTAATGTCTTTCATCAATGAGGTGTCAACTTGTATATGGTAAATTCAAGGGGAATTTATTAATTTGCACTGTGCTTACAGCAAAGAAATGAGAGAAAATGTAACATGTTTAGGGTGAAAGTTTGGATTTCAGAATAGTCGCCATTGCCTAATTTTTATATTTTAATTTCCAAATTTAAAACTAGTAGTAGCTGAAGTGTTGTGTACCTGCGTAATTAGCATTAGGCAAGAAGCAAATGACATGAATTAATTTTGAAATGAATCTGTTTAGACAGGTTTTTATTAGCAGGTACTATTTTTAGGACAGAAAGGATAAATAACGAAATTAAAAAGAAGACTTAAGGGACTATTGCAAAAATTGTATTTTGATTTACATTATTTTGTTATTTTGCATGTATACTCAAACTTATGCCTTCATTCACTGTATTTTGCATTCTCTTTTTAGGGATTTTCTCTCCAGCTTAAGGCAAAGTAGTCTTGGTATAAGCTATGGAAAGCAAAGTTGAAAATGCAGTGAAGATTTTAACTGTTTAATGAATTTTTTTAAGATTTAACATTTTGTATTTGTGGTTTTCAGCCTGATTATTACCCAGTTATTGACTGTGAATATTTAAAAACTGCCTTATTGTGAAATAAAAGTTTTTGTTTCTGATTTACTGAAATTTAAGAATTAGTCTTATGGTAACTTTTAGTAAATGCACATGCTCATGATAATCAAAATTAGATTCGCTAAAAATTTTCCACATTGAAAATGCATTGTTACTGAATGTAAGAAATCAGTACTCTGAACCTTCCCATCTGGGAATAATGGCAGCTATATATCTGGGCAGAATTACATTGGCAGTTGTGGGTATTGCAGTTTTTGTAGCTTCATTTCAATGCTAGAATTCAAATGTTGTGCCAGTCTTTCTGCAGTCATTGACCAGATTTTTCATTTGATGAGAGATCTAGGAAATATGGGGTCAAGGCAGGTGTCGAACATCTTGTGTGTTAAGAAATTGTAGAACATTAGTCTTTATGCTGCTGCTTTGAGAGAGGAGGTAAAAAAAAAAAAAAAAAAAAAAAAGGAGGTAATGAAAGCCTCAATAATATGGTACAGCCACAGGCACTAAAGCTGCAATGATTACATAACCTGCATAACATAACCTAAAGCTGCAATGATTACATCCAGGGTTGGGGTGAGGGGGATGTGTACCCATTGGTATTTTACACTATCTTTCAGTAAGTGTTTGGACTATTGTGATAGAAAAGAAAAACAAAATTTATTCATATTCAATAGTTGATAGAGCCTCCATCCTCTGGGACATGCTGTTCACAAGCTCTTGTATTGATGTTTTTTTCAGTTCAAGTTGGAGAAGACATGCAAGCTCCTTTACCAATATTGGACACTTGTTGCACCCTTTAATTTGGCGATGCAACTTGTTCCAGAGGTTCTTGATGGAGTTCAAGCCTGGGTTCTGGGCAGGTCAGTCCATTCAGTTAACCCCATTGTCACTATAACCAATCCATGTTGGACCTTGCAATATGACAGCTGCCATTGCCATCCTGAAAGTAATGCGTAAACTTTTCCCAACGTAGGAAGCGTACTATCATCCAGAATAGTGTAGTAGGCATTGAGCTTACCATGAATTTGGACCAAGGGTCTCAGTTCATCCCAAGAGAAACACCCCCCAGACTAATTCCACCTTACTGTGGACACAGTACATTCTTGTAGGAGACATTCTCCAGGCATATACGAGACCCTGCCATGCAAGCGGTAGAGGGTGAACCTTGATTTGTCACTCCAGACAACCCATTTCCACTGATTTGCAGTTCATGGTTGATGTGAACTATGTTAACCAAGCATTGAGGTTGGACAAGGCTTGTGGATGGCAGTGTGACCATGAAAACCAAGGAGATGTGCCCCCTTACAAATGCTATTCATCAAACAATGCTCCCAGATGCCTGTTGAAATTCCTGGAGTATATGGGCAATCGGTTGGGTGCAGTTCTCTCGAATTTCTCTCGTCAGCACCTGTCGGTCTCTTATCTCCTAGTTCTCTAGTTTCCTGGGTCTGCTGATTTGGGACACATTCTGACAATCACCACTCAACTTTGACTTCTGAATCACATAGGTCACTGTCGATTTTGAGTAATTCATCTCGCTAGATATGCCCCTTAAGAATTGTTCATTTCTGTGATGCTCCACAATTACCCCTTTCTCGAAATCAGGTAACTCTGCACTTTGTGGCATTTTGCAAGCTGCTAACACAAATGTTGTTTTCTACACAATATTTAATGGCAGAGGGTGTGACATGTATCAGAACCGCAGATATTGGCATTTGTCCAAATACTTATTTCTGGATAGTGTATACCATAACCCAAGTTCTGAGTTGCTATGATGATGAATGATGCTGACTTCCAACATCGTTCTTCCTTTTATTCCTCTAAACATGGATATAACCATCATAATGCTGTAGGCAAAAGCTGGCATTATTCCATTGAAGCCTCTATTTGCATTGCTCTATGCCCCACTGTAGGTGATGATTATTGTGCTGGAAACTGAAGTGGTGGTTGCCTTCGTAACAACCTAGACACAGAAAAATGGAAAATAACCGTCATGGGAGGTACTGAGAACTTCGGTTCCTTTGATTGATTCACTTTCCTTTGGTTCATGTGACCTTCCTGGACCTATGAATTGGAAATTCTAACAGTCATTGAATCTTGTCCAATCCAAGAAGCTGTTGCGTATAGTAATCCAATCCCGGTAATCTACACCACTACTGTGATTGAATTCTGAGATCTGCTGGTATGAATTACTTCTTGCAGAAAGCATAACCTCCAGCACAAAACACGATGGGTATATGCGATTCTGAATGAAAAATCGCCGTTTTAGTTGCCTTTTTTTACAACTTTGAGGGGTTGCTTCTCTTGCCTATAATATGTACATCTGTAAAATGCATATTATTTGCATAAACCAGCATATTTTATATTTTGCTACTTTATTCATGGCATAGTATTTTATGTATCATGGTCAGCAACTCTATATAATTCTAATATGTATCTGCCATGCGTATATTCTACATATGTGATCAAGTATTCTGCATATTCATGATCAACAATATATCTAGTGTGATTCGCTACTATGTGGACAAAAGTTTAGAGAGATACCCAAGTAACATGAAGATGTAGCAATGTTACTGTGCACGATGTTGCAAACCCATTGGATTATGCCATCTGTAAGGTGACTAACTATCTGTGAAATTCCTTTTTTCTTTGTAGTTCTCACAAAGACATTAATTTAGTGTCTGTATCTATACTTTTGCATCTTTACCCACACATATTTTTCCACAAAAACATTGCTTTTGCATCTTTACACACCACATTTTCATTGCAAAAATTATATTACGTCATAACAATAAGGTATTGCAGTTTTTTAAGTAATGCTGTGTAAGACTCTACCTTTTTTCTGTGACTGCTGCAAAGTCATCAGAACATGTTGACTCTAGATTTGGAGCTATCCTTGAGAATGAACAGAAAATTTCATCCTGAAGAATGTATTATAATCACTATGTGGTGTTAAGTAATACATTGAAAGATCAAATAACAGAATAATGAAATATGATAAACTTATTATGCCTTACCTACATGCTGTAAATGTTTAAGAGTACCACCAGTGATACATCTGTCATAATCTACCATCACATGGTATCCTATTTCCCATGTTTTGGTCGTACAGCAAATGCCCATTGAATATAAACTAAAGCTTTAAAACCTAAGCATGTCAAAATAAGAATTTACTAAATTATAAAAGGAATGCTTTTGAAAAAATAGTTGCGTAATACATCAAACTGAGAGAATAAAAATGGCTTTTAAGTGATTGTTTTAATTTAGTTTTTCGACTAAAATTTTAAATGATCTTTTAGGAGGAATATGGAAGCACACTGGTTACATTTTATAATAAATTTGACATCAGAAGCAAGAAAAATAGATTTATTGAAAACTTGACAGCCAGTTTTAGTGCAAATATAGTTTTGAATGCATACCACAAACTTCAGGGCTAGATTCTACTGTTGTACATTCCTGCACACTCACATAAGTACAGTATAATGTTTGAAATCCGAAATTGTCAGGACTTCTGGATTTCAGGAAATGGGGATTTTTGATGATTAGTTTAATAAGATGACATGCAGACTGCAAAATTGTGGCTTCATTTATTATTTGTCAGAAGAATGCTAACCCTCCAGCTAAACTAGTGTGGTTGCACTGGATGGTAGAATTCAGGGTTAGCAAAATTTTAGAGTTTAGATGAGTATGAAGCAGCAAAAAGTAATTATGGCAAAATTTTGTAGAACTAATAGAGGGACTAAGCGGGAGAATTTAGGAATGTAATTATTCACATCCAATAGCAAATGCTTAGTGCCAGCCATTTCCCCCAATCAATTAAAAGCCTAAAGTGTGATCCTGGCCAACATCAGAATAATTCCAATCAATATGTTATTTTTGGTTATGGTACAGCTCCCTTACTAGCAGGTGTTTGGCAGTTGTCTCAGTAAAGTGGGAGAAAAATCACAGTTGAGACCCACCTCCTTTTTGTTGAGTATTTTATTCCTAATTTTTAGATTTTGTTAGGATGTTTTTTACTATTATATTTATGGCTTGAGGGTTTAGAGGTCCAGATTTTGAACTTTGTACTATACTAGTTCCAGATATGTAAATGAAATAGAGCCAGAAAATATGAGTTAAGGATAATGTATAGAAAAATGTGGATGTTGTATGTTTGTTAAATACCGTTAAGACAATCTGGGAAAAGAAAAATCATATTCTGACATTGTTAAACTAGACTAGCAGTTACTTTCCCATATGCTATGAAATATGAAATCTGCCAACAGCAGTTAATATCTAGATTTTTGTGGAGGGGACAGATTATTAAGCTTTGAAGAGTATATACACAGTGTCTGACACAGTAATAATAATCTTTTGAGCAACTACATATCACATATACGAAATTCTACATTATCAATAGAAATCGCTAATTTTTTTTGTGATGATTGCTTTTATAGTGGTTTGATTTCAAGGTAGAGGTTCATGTTTTGAATACAGCTGAACATTAACTTTAGATTCTAAACTTTGAGAAGAAGTGTAATTTGTTGAAGTTTTATATAGTATTGAGTGACAATTTATGTTCTGGTGAGGATTGCAGAAAGTAGTTATAGCAAAAGTTCAAATCATAATGACTTGCTAATTAACATACAGCCTAGTAGCCTTCCTCACCATAATATAAACAAATTGCAAATTAAGGTCTTAATGACCATAGATTAAAATTTTAAATTCTGCAACCTAAACACATGAGCCAGTCTTTACAAACACTCGATAAAATTCCTGATGTTAAATTCAATTCTAAAAAATTCATCTTTAATTTTTTTATCTTTCAGATCCATCACCGTCTCATATCTTCTTTGAGGAATATGGAAGGAAAACTAGTTGACTGTCGTAACCCATAGTTCTTATTTGTTCTCTTGAATAGAACAGAAGGTTATCGATGATTTCATAGTTTGCAGCCCTGTTCCTAATCCCTCGTTATGTCATGATGTTCACAGTGATCAGGACCTTTCAAATCGGCGGAGATATTTTTGAATTCCGGGCCTATATGCAGTTCTGAAATTCTTTCTCGTAAATC